TCTTTTTTTGACTCACTTTTTCCTGCCCCTGAAATCGCTTCCTTTCAGGCTGAAATGTGCTTTAATTTCCCTCGCAAACTCTCTCACTCTGTCCCTTTTTGTGACTCAGTGGGAATCGTTTCCTCTTGTCTCTCTTTTTCTCTACTAGCTCTATCTGCACACTTTCCTTCGCTAAAGTGATTTGTTCTGCAGCTCAAGTCTGTGGGATAATCGTGCTGCTTTTCTAGCGGAAAAGAGAAGGTAAGGCTTGGATAAGAGTGAGAATGTTAGACAGGCAACGGACTAAATGGGACAAGAGGACATATGAGTGGAGTGAGAAACAGAATTTTTCAATTTTCCCCTCCTTTTTTCATCTTGCGCTTCGGTTTGGATTCTTTTAATTGGCTGTTGTATAGCTCAGGATTTTCCTTTCTTTCTATCCCTGCCGGTTTTGCTAAATTTCTTTTTACCAAATACTTTATACAGTGGTTCTCTTTATAGTGGGGTGCCTTACTTTAAAACATATACTATACTTTATTTCTAGTACTTGGAGAAGGAATTGATGCCCCATAATCACCGCCAGGCTACAATTACAAACCTGAATGCAAAATATTAGGATTTTAAGTAATAGAGAAACATAGAATGTAGTGCAAAGTTGAAGGGAAATGATTCATATTTTTTTAATTTTTATAGTATGCACAAAATTAGCCTTGTTAAAAATCCTGTTGCTGCAGTTATTTCTGTGCACAGCAGGGGTCAAACATTTTTGTCCACATCTTTGCATGACAGCTCAAGCGCATTAAGTTCTGCTGATGCTGTAAAGATGGATTCTTAGAAGCAATTGCATTTCGGTTTGCTCTTTTACTATTGCATTCTAAGATGGGAATATGCTGTTATTAGTGTTATTTCATTAAGGTCTGCCCCTCCATTCATCTTCCCATCAACTCTAAATAAAAACATTTTCTCTTTGGGAGGGAAGTCCCTGCAGCAAGATGCCACCACCACCGTGTCTCACACTGGGTTCATTTCTGATAACATGTAGCTTTTTGCATTCAGGCAAAAAGGCCCACTTTTCAACTGACCAGAGCACCAATCTGCAGCTCCTCCAGAGATACCAAGGAGCTCTTAGCTGCTTCGCTGATTAATGCTTCACACTTGTCCCATACTGCCTTAATATTCAAATGATGGACTGAACAGTAAGCTATCCACTTAGGGATCTGGATTTATATGCCAATCCTGGTTTATTCTTTCCATAACTTTAGTACCTGTCTGGTGGCCATCCTACATTATGCTTTTTTCAGCATAGTTTGCTGAAAAAGCTTTAAGGCCAGAAGTACTGGATGTATTAAAAGACCAGATTACAGGTAGACTCTGTAAAGATTCCTGAATACTTACAATTAAATCCACTATTTTGTTTTGCTATCTCACATAAAATGTAAAAGTTTGTTATTAAAATGGAGCAAAATGTTATAATTTCTTGCACTCACATTAACATTATCCTCCACTTTGTCATCTGTTGTCTTTTTCTCAACACATATACCCTTTATATCTGGCACTTTGACACTTCATTTCCACATCTCCTAGTTTGACCTTCATATCTTTATGTCTCATCTACCCTTTGGCATATTGCAATCACCTTCCTCCTCTCTCCTGCCAACTCTTTGTTCCATCGCCTGCTCATCTCTTTCTTTGTTCCCTTCTCTTCCTTTCTGGACAGAGCTGGTTAGCCTTGTCTACTGTGAAGCATTTTATGGCTAACGTCTGTCACGGCCCTAACAATTGAGCAACAAAAACCACCACATGCAACCCTCCTTCCCAGAACCACAGCTTAAAGGAAATTTACAGGGCTATTACACAACAGCAACCACACAGGAGATTCACAACTGCCAAAAGAACTGGTCTTAACAGTATGAAAAAACAAAAAAACAAACAACCACATGCCTGCATACCATACATGATAGTGACGGATGTCTCTGTGGGAAAATGTGCAGATGGTTAAATACTATCTATACCAAAATTACAGTTGGGTGTGTGTGAGAGCAAGGATTATGTAAATACCTAACTGACAAAACCTAAACCCTTTTCCCTATCTTGGTTCCCCAATTTAATATCATCTAATCTATAATACCCCCCACTACATTGTCACAAAAAAAAGAAGATGAAGCACAGTTCTACTCTGGTTTACCAATGACAATCAGGAACAAAACCCAAACCCCTTTAGATTAAATACACAATAATGAAAGGATGTGTTAATAGAAATATCCCTGCAATTCAGTCTTTTCTATAGCCTGTGTTCAATCAATTTATGGCTTTCTGTTTCATCTCTCCACCCCATGCAACTCTCTCTTAGGCCCTGTGCCTTGTTTTATCTCTGTACCAATCCCCTCCATCTCTGTCTTTCTTCCATACACACACAGAATGCACTGTTCTCCATCTCTGTCTTGCATTTTTCTCTTTTTCTGCCTTCAGCCACTCCCTCCCTCCCCCTTGCACAACACTATCTGACCAAACCTTTCGTTCTGCGTGTCAATTAGCTTCTCTGTTAGTATGTATTGGACGGTCGTGCTTTACCTTTCCAAATCATTCTTTATCTAACCACCTTTCCATTTGGTTCTCTTTAGAGTCAAACTTTCTTTGATTAGATTCCTCTGATAACAGCTGACAGAACAAAAACACTTAAACCACTTTCTTATCTTCATCTCTGCCTGTTGATTTCATTGCATGGCATTTCCATTAAGATCCTTTGGTCCGACTGTTCTATATTCAAACCTATCTGGTATCTTCTCAGTTCTTTGTTTTTTACTGACCTGCCCTAACTTGTAATCTTCATTTCTAATTCTAGTTTAATTCAACTATTTTAAACAATACATAAAATGTCTTTTTATTATTCCAACATTAGCCATTTCCCTTTCGTCATGTGCTTATCACTGTGCACATAAATACAGATTAATATATTTTTCTTATGAGTTACAATGTTCTTGTTACTATCCTGTGCTGCTGTTCCCACTGTTTTATAACGTACAACTGAGGTTCCTTAAAATTGTCCCTTAGGGGATAGTTATTGAATTAAATTGAATTGCTTCACTATCATGTTAGAAGACTCACTTTCATGTTCACAACAGAGTTAAATTCTAAAAGAATCACTCTATTGTGGCATATAAACACAAACACATTCTGTAGGGAATTTCTTTTAAATTGACAGAAATTGCTCTCAGAATAAACAAGCTTATCTTGTTATAATATGAAACGTATCTGCACTTGTTTATGCTCCTTATTTTATAGATAATGATACTTGAGTCACCCTCTAAAGCTGGGAATCTCAACATATGTTGTAAAACCCTTGGGGGGATTTCCTAGTAATGATGGGAGTGGAATCACATCTGAAGTTCGAACTGCATTTGATTCTACAATATGGGCTGGGATATATAACATATATTATACAAGTCTAAATGAGAGGAAATGAAGACGGTTTTTTGAAAATCTTGTAGCAGCTATAAAGCATTTACTGCCAATCTGAGAAATGAATTGGGATTAAAGGTGTGGATGCATCTGCAAAATCAGGAGCAGGATATGTTACCTATGGAGAGATGTCAGCGTTTCATGTTTGGATTAGATTAACTGACCATCTGGTAATACAATTTCTAAATTTCCCAAGTATTCATACAATTATCAAGTAAATAAATCAGTTTCAGATTCAAGCATTTGGCATGCTCTGGTAACAGAACAATGCATATATAACAATATAACATCAGATGACATAGGATTTTTCATCATGTCCCAAATAAATGTGGCAGTCTATCTTCTCTGGTGATCAAGGTGTGGATGCTATAGTGTTAAATGAAGAGTAAGATAATGCTGTTACATCATTTTCTCCCAGATTCTCTCTTCATACCCCATTGAAATAAAAACCACTATGTAAAAGTGTGACAGGTGTATAATGATATAGCCTTCCAATCTCACAACCAAGATTAACTTCAGTGTAACACGGTCAACAAATCAATGCTTCCACAGGAACAAAACAATGTGCAACAGAGCAAGTTTGCCAAGAGTAAGTCACTCCAGCCTTCCCTTTACTGTCTGCCACCGTATGTCAGGCAGCCTTTGAGCTGATTTTATGACACTGTTAAAGCAGAAAAAAATAGAGTCACTGATATGAGAAGGGGTATTTCCCTTTTTGGGTGCCTGTGACTTATAAACCAGTATTATATATGTGGCTGTGAAATCAGTGAAGGAAAAGGAGGGAAACGGAAAAAGAGTGGAAAGGCTAAAGGATGGATACAGTTTTTTATTTTATTTATAGTGACTAGTAGGAAGTAAAAAAACAATACTTGTTTTAGGGACAATGAAAGCTCTAATAAAGGAAAAATATTTCCGCCAACGATCTGCTCTGAATACATTTCTCTAGGTATTCCTTTTACTTACGGACAAATAAACTTTTTCCAGAACGAGGTTCTGTTAGATTTATTTGGACCAATAAACTATGGTTCTTGAAACAGAATAACTTATGCTCAATAATGGCACTCATAAATCGATATTCTGCTTTGATTTTGCAAAGGTATGTTAGACTAATCTCTTCAAACTTGAATCGCTGTATCCTCTGTTTATGATCTTAAGCTGTGAAGCATCTAATCAGCCTTCTCATTATAATTTCAATGAAAATTTGTTGTAATGCAAATAATGTTGACTTTTTTATCAAACAGCAATTGTTTAATGAATAAAACCCTAACACACCAAGTACTAATTGTTTATTTTGAGAAAACATCAAAGAGTGTCAGAGAAGTGACACAATATCAAGTTCAAGTTGTTAAACAAAACAATAAAATTATTAAATATCAAAAGAAATGTTCAAAACAAAAAGGATATTAAAGTTTCATGTTTTTTCACTTTAAATTGGGGGTTTTTAAAAAAGCTTTGTTCCAATAAAAAGAGAGCTTAACTGTAGAAGCCAAGACACCACTGCTCTAAAGTCAATGCAACTCATTTTATTTTATCTACAACCATGAAAATGTGCATGAACTTACGAGTGATGAAGAGCAGGACCAGGACTAGGCTGTGCAGAGTCAGCGAGAAAGATCCAGGGAGGAGGCAGCAGAGGCCAGAGCTTCGGACAGACCACATTGTGTATTAAGGCTGAAGATGTGCGTTGTGTGTATGTCTGAGCCTGCAAGTGTGAGTAGCTGTGCAGATTTGATCAATGGCTCTTCTGTAACCCTGCCTCAACTGCTACAGAGAGACCAGTCCAAATACACACTCACTCATGCACTAATGCCCTCAGATTTGTTCTCTTCTGCAATGCTGCAGACACGTGCAAGGCAGCTCGGCTTTCACTTTAACGCTGTTAGACACAGGTTGTTTGGAAAATACACTTAAAGAAATGATGTCTTGAAGAAAGAGCCCTCTATCACAACACAAGCAATGGAATTTCTTTTTTGTAGTGCAAGGACACTAAGGAAGAACTTGCAGCTAGGGATTATATGGGGTGTACAGCAGCTTCTCAGAGTAGTGGGTATCTTAAATTCTATATCACAAACAACCAAAAGATGAGGTTAAAGTATGGAAGTCCTTGCAAACTGCAGCAACTTGTAGTACTCATAAAATGTCATCCAGATTATGTAAAATTTTTATGTATTGGTTTTCTGAGGTGAAAGAAACAGTAACTGGTTTTCTCTTTGTGTGCTAGATCATTAACTGGCAGAGCTGGGCAATGCCGTTCTTTTTCCAAACAGCTTCACTTAGGCAATTAACTAAATGAAGGACAACTTAATTATCTTTTCAACAACTGTGCACTGCAGTGTCACAGCTAGAGCAACATATATTCAGAGAAATAGGAGCCCTAACAATCAGCCAAACCCTTAACCACACTAGCAAAGGATATATGCATCTTAGAGCCAAATTAACTGCTCTGAAAAACAGCAATCTATAATGATGTATTTCACTTAGATATAACTCAATATGTGAAATTTGTCTCGGAGGTGCTAACAATGTGCTTCATCTGTGAAGCCTCAAACTAAATCTTAATCATATTATATTCAGATAAATCAAAAGTTTTTTTTGTACTTCTCACCCTGTAAATCAGGTATTAGAAGTCAATGTTCCTTTAAGCTATGCAGAGCTAAGAATAGCTCTGGAGAGACTGACCCTCTAACTAAAACTCATCTGGAGATACAGTATCTAGTTAAAGGAAAACCCAAAGTAGAGTGCTGCTGTGTTGGAGTGGAAGTTTTTGCCCTGCATTGAATGGCCAACTTGGAAAGGGTTCAACAAGCTGCATTAGTTCCGGGCATTATATGTCTCCGTTTGCCATTTTGCCCTGGAGGAATATAAAAACATTTTGCTTGAATGCTTGAATCTTGTCAATGTATTATCCTGTACACATTGAAGCATGAATAGAGAGTGATTTTTCATGGTAAAAAAGACTCCTCAGAATAATCGCAGGTTATCAGTTTCCATGATCGTGCAGCATCGACCTGTCTAACAATTCCTATCCAGCCTGCTCCGCTGCCTGCAGTCAGAGCGCCTTGCAGGAATCCAGACACACACTTACTCACAAGCGCTGATGTGAAACCTGCTATGTTTAAGGTCGAGGTAGAGCGCAGCTGAGCATCAGAACCTGATGTGCCACTCGTCTACGGAGGCGTGGAACTCTTTTATGTGCATGTGTATGAGTGCATCTATGAGTGAGGAAAACAAAGTGTGACGAATGGCACCACACACCTTGCTGAGCACTATCTAGTGAAATAAAGTGTGGGTGTCATTTTAATATAAATACACACACACAACCTCTTTCAGTGTCCTGCTGTAAGCACAATTAGATCTGACGGCGATGGCCCAAACACCTTGGGCAAACCCGAAAGTGGCTCATCAGAAGTCCTCTCCACACTGCTTACTACAGTGGTGAACTGGCCCTCGCAGGAAAATAACTCTGAGTTGGTGTGCAACAAGCAGCTTGAGTATAGCCAGTATAAGGACTGCTGCAACACAGATGGAAACTAAATGCATTCACGTGTTCAGGCTGATCCCTCAATTTGCCATTATTTATCTGTCCTAGCGTCCTCTCTCAGTCCTGCGTCTTCAATCCGCCTTTTGGTAGCAGCTTGTTAGTTCCCAAAAGTGCATCCTTGTTTTGTTTCCCTTTATTCCCCTTAATCTGCAAAGTCTGTTAAAATCCCAAAGTGCGAACGCCACCGATCACATCCATCTGTCCGTTAACTGTCCTCCACTTGTTTATATAAGCCTGGCTTCCCTCCCCCGCAGTTAGAAAATGTGCTTTTGTCAGTGTTGGATCAGTGTCTGCATATTTTAAAATTCAAGTTTGTGAAGGTTAGACATGTGCATCTGGGGATGGTTCACTTGACAATGGGGGTCTTTGAGGTCGAAAAACAGTGGCAGAGTGTTTGCACGTGAATGTGCTTGACTGTCCAGTGTTGGCTGAAGCAGGGTGTACATTTGTTTGAATGTTTGCCTCATTCACTGTCTATAGCCCGCTAATGTACCCATCCAGAAACAAAAAAATCCTCATAATGCCCCTTTATGTTTAATGAACAGTTTTATAGCTTTGGAAATGTCCATGATGCTGCATGTATGCATGTTCTGTGTTTAAAACAAAAGCAAAAATGGATATACAGTGAGTTCCTAAAGTCTTAATACCAATTAAAGAATCTTGCAACACATTTCATAAAAGCACAGACTTTGATTTTATTGGTAATTAATTAACAGAAAAACAAAAAGTTATGCAAAATTGAAAGGAGGAAGAACAAATTCAGAAGCACCTCCTCCTTTTGAGTTAGACCTTGCAGACCCTTTTACGTGATCACAGCAGCAAGTGTTTACTCGTTTGTCTCTAGCAGCTTTTCATATCTAGAGACTCATATTTCTTCCTAATTTTCTTTACCAAAATGTTCATGGTCAGTTCATTCAGACTATATATAAAGCATCTCTGAATAATATTTTCTTAAGTCTTTCAAAAGACCCTCAATTGATGCTGCATTGACTGCAAAATCTCTGCTTACAAAATACCAGGCAAAAGAAGTAAAGCTTTGACGAAGTCAGGATAGTTGTAAAGGTGGCACAACAAACCCCAACATTACCTGAGGCATTTAATGAGGTATTTTGCCTGATCAACAAATATCAAGGTGAAGACTACAGGCAATTTCTTTTCATGCCAAGTCAGCAAGTGCAGTTATTTCAACTTAAAACCCCAGGCTTTTCCACAGGCATAATCTAACAACAAAAACTGTGATTGGACCATCCCCTTTAGCTTGTTGTATGTCAGAGGTTATTCTTCTGTAAAATAAACTTCTGCTCCAACCTCTAGTAGGTTTTCTACTATCATTGTCCTGTTTTTAGTTACATCCAACTTCTTCTTATCTCTCACCGCTAACTATCTCTGCAAAATGACAACCATCCCCAAAGCATGATGAATGCCTCTACCATATTTCATCATGGGGAGGGGCTTAAAAATTGTATTTTTTGCCCTTAGTAGCATTTTGTTTGAAGATCATAAACTTCACATTTGGTATTGTCTAACCAGAGCATCTTTTTTCTAGTTTATAATACCCAACAGCAGAGGGGACATCTTGAGATTGATTCTGAAATGAAAGGCCAAAGTTCTGGAGTAGAGAGCTAATCACTGCTCCGATTGATTTGTAGATTTTTGCAGCTTCTTTGGACATCCAGCACCCTGTAAATTTAGGTTGCTTTTGTGATTAGTCCTGTCCTTGCCAAGTATTTTAGCGGAAGGCTATGTCTTGGTTGGTTTGCAATTCAGCTATACTATTTCTTTTTTTAGGAATAAAAAGTGACTTGTGACTGTTCAAAACTTGGAGTATTGTTCTATAACCGCTACAATCTTGATAAGTCAGGAAATGTCTCCCATTTGTTTACCAACGTTCTTCAGCAACCCCTCATGCTTTCAAAAAATAACTTACAATGAGGTTAAACTTAACTTGGTTGCACAGTTTCTTTAGACGTATTGGACTATATGGAGCTTTCTATAACTTGATAGGTATGCATTATTTTGTGCTGGTGGATCAAAAATCCCAAATAAATGTACTGAGGTTTGAGGTTATTTGAGGTAATTTTATTAGATTGTTTGCACAACTTTAACATTGACAATTGAAAGGACATGTTCTGAACGTTAATTGCTGTTAATTAGGATTCATTAGAAGCCTAATAAGTCTCTCAGAACATTTTGAACTAAAACATCAAGCTAAAGCAATTCCTTTCTTCAAGCTGACACCCACATGTGCAATCATTACTTCCATTGACCATAAAACTGGCAATACAAAGCCAAGAACAGGTTCTCACTACACAAGGCTCTCTGTCTTTGACTTTCATTATCCTGTAAAATGAGAACAACACAGTGTTACTTTTATAATAGCACCTCTGTTTGTCGTTAATCAGCTGATCATAAACTATCCATTCTAATTTGTTGTATTTACAAACATCGCCTCCAGATCAATCTGAAACACCCTGTTCCCCATTATCAAGTCAAATAAAGTCAAATTCATTTATCAACAGCTTTTAACGAAATAGGGTCGTCACAGAGTGCTTTATAAGGGGAGAAATAACATAATTACAAAGAGAAAGAAAACACATTGCAAATCATTGCACAACTTATGAGTGTATTTGTATGTCTGCAGAGATCCTGTGTGGGCAGCCCCCCGATGGGTGTATTTGTTTTTGTCGCAGTATGGGAAAGCTCGGGAAGCAATGGCAAATTGTATCCCCGATACCCGCTTTCCTTTCTTTACTTTTGGCCTCTCTTTCTCATCGAAATCAAATTTTTAATGGGCTTCATTGGTGCCACCATGGAATAAGTGTTGCCAAAGCACTTAAGGGGCTTAAGTCAGCAACGTGCTGAAAATATTAAGCACTCAAACAGCCTTACAAGTATCCCTGCCTGTTTAAGTATGCTGAGGGGGTCGTGTCGGCATTTAATACCAATGGTATTAAAGCAGCCTGACAAGACGGTGGAACAGAAGTATGAAGACATATAATGTGTCGTTCAACTGGGAGTAGATCGAGAGATGAAGGCTGAATGGAAGGATGGGAAAGGGACGAGGCATGAGGAGTCATGGGATAGGTGACGGGATACAACGAGGTGGAAAAATAGAATACAATGGATGATTAAAGGAAGAATAGGGGAGACAGAGGAAGTTGTGAGCAGAAGCTGGGGAGAAATAACGGAAAGAGAAACAAGCAATGTGGCGGAGGAGAGATATGAGGGAATTGGGCCAAGGTGTGGGAGGTAAGGGTTGATGGGATAGCTGTGAACCAGCAGCTGAGGGCTAATGCAGAGATTCTATCAGGAGGCTTATCCAAGATTAAATTTCTCTTTGTCCTTAAGGCGCTTCTTGGGTTAGCGGAAGTGTTGAATTTATTTCTTATGTCTCCCTTGAGGTTATTGCGGGCAAGTGGTGTGGGAGCATGCGTGAATGTGTGTGTGTGTGATGTGTTAGTGAGTGTGTGAGAAGGGGGGGCGCGGATATGAATATGTGCCAGAGTAGATGGGAATCCTCGGGGTTTATTAGCTGGCGAAGTGAGAAAAGAGGGCATGTGTTCCTGAAAGGTAATAATACATCAAATGAACATCTCCTTGAGGGGGCTTCAGGATAAGCGAACATCAGTATAGGCATGATGAGGTCCATGTGTGGCTTTAAACGTATAGATATGTAGGTTTTATTGAAGAATACTGTGCCTAGCAAAAGTATGAAACCAATTTAGGATTTCTATACTATATTTACTGACAACAACAAACTTATTATATCTTTGGAGAAAACAAACTGCAAAGGTCAGGGAATTGTTTAAAACCGAAACTCAAATTTTAAAATATTGGTTATCTGAAAAA